GTAAGTAATTCGACCACTATTTAAAAAACGTGGACACGCTATTTTCAGCGGCACGTGGAAAGTGAAAGTAAAAAAGAACAGCGCTCGTCGATATCACCGCTTCCTCAAAATAGAAACTTAAAACACCTCTGTTCTCTTTTCTCCCCCTCATAGTCTGAAACAGAGTTAAGATACAGCTAAATCAGACAGTTAAAATAAGTTAAAAGTTGAAAACTTACCTTTGTTGTTAGTTGTGCTCTGTCTCACAAATCACCACCCGCTCTCCACCGGGGAGGGAGCTGTAATGGATGCGCGCACGTGAGCCCAGAGCACGGCTGCTGGATCGGCCAGAGCAGGCGCGTATCGGCCGATACCGATACAAAGGAAAAACGTGAATATCGGCCAAAAATATCGGCCGGCCGATGTATCGGTCGACCCCTAATAGTAACAATATTTTTATACTACATTTATCCATTTTAAATATACTAACCTCACTCCTTTGTAACAACTAAGGCAAAAATGTCATTAATTCAGAAAATCTTTTCAGGACCTCACCTTGATGTTTCAGGACCCCACTTTGGGTCCCGACCCTAACTTTGGGAAACACTGCTTTATAGTACAGTATTTATACTTGCTATTCAGTGGCTCTCCATGAGCCGTGAAACTGCTGGTTGTGAAAAAACAAATCATGTTAAAGTAATGAAACAGTCAGCTGAAATCTTGTTTTCAAAAAATGGCCACCCGTCCTGAGTCTGATTCTGGTTCTGCTGAGGGTTTCTTCTAAATCMAACTCTTCTAAACTACAGATTAAATGTCTCCCATTTCCTGGAACTTTGTAGATGTTCAAATTACCCGCACCACGTGATAGAGACCCCCCACGCTCACATTCACAACCGCTTCCCCACCAATGTTGACATTCTGCTCCACACAAGCATTTTCCACTTCATTTTTAATGTTTGACGCCTGGAACAATGAATAAACTTGCCCAGACTTCAACACAACACTTCAACACAACAGTGTTGACTCTTTTTACAAGACTGTCAACACAGTTGGCGGGTCCGTCACCAACTCGCACACCTCTGGGCCTACCACRCCCTACACTGAKAAACAAAACAAGAAAATAAAACWGGATRTTGATYATTTATGCAAGTGACTTATTTTGCTTTGAAATTGGCAAAATTTGCCAAAAATCAACATGTTTGTAGGCATGCCAGATCCCTTCAAAGAACCATTTGTCTCATCTTTAATTTAGACTGAAAATACAATATAYAAGTGTAATCTTGGGCTTGTGGCATGTTGATTGTACATCAAAATATGAATTGCATGTTTTTTTTTCTTTAGTTTTTGCTTATGCACATTAAGACTGCATGGAAGACAATCATTTTATCTGCTAACACAAAGTCTTTTTGTTTTTCTCTTTTCTAAACCTTTATATACCACTTTGCCTTATATTCCTGGTATATATTTTTAAATTATATTTGTGAGAAAACTGACAGGATGATGGCTTCTATTTTCTGTTGTTACTTCACTTTTCCCTGTACATAAAGTTTTGAATCTTTATTCTTATTTATTAAAATAATATTTGTATTTTGCACAAAATGACATCAGTTATAGCTATCACATGGAGGCTCGCTGTTCTTATCACAACTAGATCAGTAGTAGTAATAACAGTTTTAATTTTTGTAATCTATTGGTATAAGACAAAACCAAAACATTAACACCTGAGAGTTATTTTAACAATATGAGTGTGCCTCCCTAAAATATTCACACGTTTCATTCTTAAGTTCAGACACATCAGTTTGTCACCACATAAATTTAGTTTTAAAAATGTTATATTTATTTTTCCTGTATTGTATTGTATTGTATTGTA